TTTCTTGTTTACACTATGTAAGATTTTATGGTCGACAGATGTTTTGCTGTCGAAAAGCTTGTCTCGAATATAGATGGCGAAATCGCTAGACATTTTCAAAAAGATAAAAATTTTAATTTTTCTAAAAATATGTTAGAAAAAAAGTTTGCTGACATTGACAAAAAATTTGAGAATGTTTTGAAGAAGAACAAGAGGAAGTTAGAAAATGCTCAGATAAAACCTATACATGACAAGTTCTTATTTGCTCAGAATGGTATAACAGGTCTAATTGCACCGCCTGGGTCGGGTAAGACTTTCACTTATCTTAAAATGGCTGCACAACAACAAGAACTAGATGAGAAGAACCCATTCTATGAGTTAGTTGTCATTTGTAGTACTTCGGGTCAATTTAACCAAACCGTAAAATCGTTCAAAGATATTATAAAGAAGTCTAAGTTAGTATGTATAAAAGACTCTGAGTTGTTAGATTGGATAAAGAAGTACCAAAGAAGAGTTTTGAAGTACAATGCTATAAATGAGTATATAAATTCGAAGTTTAAAGACCCAAATGAGGAAATGCAGAGAATATTAGAGAAGAAACACTTCAGAAACAAACAGAAAGAGATAGAATACATTTCGAAGAAATTGCAATCTTACGATTGGAAAACGTACCCTCATAGATGTCTTCTTATCTTAGATGATTTCGCCTCTCATCCTTTGTTAAAGAATAGAGAACAAGATATGTGTCGAATTCTTAAGAAGCTCAGACACTTTAACATCTCAGTTGTCATTTTGTACAGACAGCAAAGAGTTTAAGTAAGGATGTAAAGAGAATACTTACTGACATTGTACTTTTCCCCGGATTGTCCGAAGACGATTCATGGAACTTATGAAAGAGTCCATGGCAGGTAAGTTTGACAGACATGAACTATGGGAGAAGTACAAAGTCATACAAGACCCTCATACTTCTTTCAGAATTCATATCTACGCAAACAAAGTTCAAATTGTAAAAAGTCAAGCGTAAAAATGTAAGTGTTTAGTCTTAGTCTGTTGTGGTTCTGCAGCTTTCGGTTCTTCTGGCTTTGGAATGGAATCGGCTCGGTTGGTGGTACGTCGGACATTCGTTTTGTGTCCTGTCGGAAGGAAAATATTTTCCTGTCGGAAGGAAGAGTTCTTCCTGTCGGAAGGAAAATTTTTTCCTGTTGGAAGGAAAATTTTTTCCTGTTGGAAGGAAAATTTTTTCCTGTCGGAAGGAAAAACTTTTTCTGAAGTTCGACCAAAAAGTTCTCAATTTTCGAAAATTTGAATGGTTTACGGACGGACAACTGGAAAAATTTTTCCTGTTGGAAAGAAAAATTTTTCCTGTTGGAAGGAAAATTTTTTCCTGTCGGAAGGAAGAGTTCTTCCTGTCGGAAGGAAAATTTTTTCCTGTCGGAAGGAAGAACTTGGAATGCCAGAAGGATTTGACAAGGCAATTTACCTTATAGAGCTACCTGAGCCATCTGAAGTCAAGCTTGAAAAATAAATGGTTCATTTACTCTGCTTGTTTGAAGTTGTCAAAATACTCTGTTATTTTTTCTTTCAGTAGCGGCAAATCTTCTTTGAAGGTAAGTATTGTACAACCTTTAATATCATAGTGTGTTTGAGGTAAAGTATCTTGAACTATTTGTTTCACATCTTCATTTGGTGTCATTGAAATCGGTAAGTTTTTCGCGATAGAACCAATTTCTGTCAGATTTGTAAATCTTAGCAAGGTCGTAAAAGCTTTTGTTGTTTCTTCTGACTAAATGCAACATAACCATATCTCTGTCTTCTTCATTTTCCATCTCTTCAGTATAAATCATATACTTATAGTTCTTTTCCTTTCCTTTTGGTACCGAACGTGGTATTCTTTTCTGTATGTTTTTGTCTTTTGCTTCAAGCTTGTTCTCTAGCTCTTCACGTTCTTGTCTATGAATTTCATCTAACATCATGAAAATATAACAAGCGTAACGAGGTGAAGCCCACATTGCAACAGCATTTACTAAAAGTCTATGAACATAATATCCTTTCAAACCAGGAGCCAAATTCTTGCGATTTTCGTACGGAATCTCTTCCCTCGGTTTTTCGAGGGAAGCAAACATATGAGGAAATTCTTCTAAAAGTTCTTTTGTCTGTTGGTTTTCAAACCAATGATATGCTTGCTTTGTAGAACGAAGAGCATTCAAAATACTTTGCACTTGGTACATATCGTCTTTGACCGAACGAATGAGACGTAACTGTTTGTTATACTGAACCCACTCGTATTCTTCATTTATGTCTTCATGAACGATAGCAGTTGTTGTGTTCTCTGTTGTTGACATATCTGTCCTTACATACAAAATAAAAAAAATATTTTATAAAAAACTAGCGTTATTTTCTGACTTTCACAAAAGACCAAAAATAAACGCTTTACATGTATTTTTCAGCAACTTCGTCAAATAATTTTATAGCTTTACCTATCTCATCTACTTCAAACGTTTCTTTACCTTTCGTGGGAGCACCATACATTTTCTCAAACTTTTCAAGTAGTTCTGTTTCTGCAGCTCTCATATCATTAGCAAACACAACCTTGACTCTATTGACTGTACTGTCATATCTTTGAGTTATATTATATGTTCTTCCTATCTTATATCTCTTTGTATTGAAGTCCTTCGGTTTCTGAACGATGTAAAGTAAGCCCTCACTGCAACGTTCCGTATCGAATGAACCATATGTTATGAAGTTATATCCAACAACTGGGTCTAACCATAACAAAACTATTGGTATAAGACTTTTGTCGATGAGATATGCTGCAGTTCCATAGAATTTTACCGATATCATAAGCTCAGGATTTCTTGTCAAAATTTTCTGAGTAGAAGCAGTTCTAACCCAGTCGTGGGATGTTTTCTTTCCAGATAGTGTTAGAATGTCTGACAAAGAATATTTGTTGTATTTCTTTGAGTATCTTACGTTTAAATCACATATTCGAACCACTTTGGTGTCATTGTCTATCTTTCTAACTGTTTCAAACTCAATGTTTGTCATTTTCTGTTCTTACATACAAGATAAAAAAATTTTTTTTTAAAAAACTAACTTTATTTTTTCTATCTTGTATAAAAGATATGATTTCAGGGATTTTTTTGACGAAGTGCAAAAGTTCTCTTCGTAAAAAAATAACAGTTATATAATGAAATTTGGTCATTTTTTTACGATTTTCGTACGGAATCTCGTTCCTCGGTTTTCCTCGGGTCGCAATTTTTCACGATTTCAGGGATTTTAGGCGACCCCGAAAAAAGTCTGGGTCGCAATTTTTCACGATTTTCATGAGTTTTAGGCGAGTAAGATTTTTTCCGTACTCGCAATTTTTCACGATTTTCATGAGTTTTAGGCAACCCCGAAAAAAGTCGGTCTAGAGAAATTTCACGATTTTCATGAGTTTTAGGCGAGTAAGATTTTCTATCTTGTATAAAAGATATGATTTCAGGGATTTTTTTTACGAAGTGTCAAAGTTCTCTTCGTCAAAAAATAACAGTTATATAATGAAATTTGGTCATTTTTTCACTGTTTTCAGGGATTTTTTTTACGAAGTGTCAAAGTTCTCTTCGTCAAAAAATAACAGTTATATAATGAAATTTGGTCATTTTTTCACGATTTCAGGGATTTTTTTTACGAAGTGTCAAAGTTCTCTTCGTCAAAAAAATACAGTTATATCATGAAATTTGGTCATTTTTTCACGATTTCAGGGATTTTTTTTACGAAGTGTAAAAGTTCTCTTCGTCAAAAAATAACAGTTATATAATGAAATTTGGTCATTTTACTCAGACAAAAATATATTTTAGGTGTCACCAGGTCCCTCGGTCCCTCGGTCCCTCGGTCAACTAACATCTTTTTGAAAATGGTGACAACATGACATTTTGACAACAACACAGGAAATAAACTTCTTCGTATATGTTTTGTCAAAACTTCATCGTCAATGAGCGTAAATCAGACAAAAATATATTTTAGGTGAAGAGGTGCGATCTCACCTGTTTTTTCACCTGTTTTCTCACATGGTCTAAAACATACAAAACTCATGAAATTTGTGCTGAATTCAGCAAAAAATAATGTTTAGGTGAAGTGGTGCGATCTCACCTGTTTTTTCACCTGTTTTCTCACAAGCGTTTTACATGGTAAACGTTATTTTTACATGTATTTTTCAGCAACTTCGTCAAATAATTTTATAGCTTTATCTATCTCATCTACTTCAAACGTTTCTTTACCTTTTATGGGAGCACCATACATTTTCTCAAACTTTTCAAGTAGTTCTGTTTCTGCAGCTCTCATATCATTAGCAAACACAACCTTGACTCTATTGACTGTACTGTCATATCTTTGAGTTATATTATATGTTCTTCCTATCTTATATCTCTTTGTATTGAAGTCCTTCGGTTTCTGAACGATGTAAAGTAAGCCCTCACTGCAACGTTCCGTATCGAATGAACCATATGTTATGAAGTTATATCCAACAACTGGGTCTAACCATAACAAAACTATTGGTATAAGACTTTTGTCGATGAGATATGCTGTAGTTCCATAGAATTTTACCGATATCATAAGCTCAGGATTTCTTGTCAAAATTTTCTGAGTTGAAGCAATTCTAACCCAGTCCTGCGGTCTCTTTCCAGATGGAGATATAATGTCTGACAAAGAATATTTGTTGTATTTCTTTGAGTATCTTACGTTTAAATCACCTATTCTAACCACTTTGGTGTCATTGTCTATCTTTCCAACTGTTTCAAACTCAATGTTTGACATCTCTGTCTTTAAGTCAGCATAGTCGTTTCTCATACGTTCTATCTCTTTGACGGAGTAGTTATATTTCCTCATTGCTGCTTTACATTTAGAACATTGCGGGTTCATTTTAGCATTGTACATTGAAACCTTACCTGCTAAAACAACTAAGGCGTAAATGGTTTTCTTTAACTCAAAAGTTGCGGGTTTTATCTGTTCATTCCATACTTTACCTCTTCTATCTTTATCTCTTATCTGCCATACACATTTTGCAACTAACGAAACAAAGTTGTCGTAGGTCTTAAATTCTTCAGATTTATATATGTCCATGAAATATACCATATCGCAGTCTTTGTCCATGACTTTGTGGTTGCAATGAAATCCTAGAAACTCATAGTTTACCTTTCGTATGAACTTCTTTATTTCTACCGAGTCAGTTGCTTTGACTTCTATTTCATCGAATTCAGGAATAGTAAGCTTTTGTTGTTGTATTTCAGGAAGTTTAGGTAGATGTTCCACCAGGTCCTGCATTTCATAAAGATACTGTTCATTTGTTTCATCTTTCGCAGTGCAATCTAAATCTCCTTGGAGAAGTTCCTGCTTTATCTTCTGGATTTCTGTTTCGAAAGTATATGAAGAAGGAATGAAGCTTTTCATCTCTACTAACATAGATGTTGGGTTCATGACTAACGAGTTTGGTGCTGTTGTTGCTAACATGTTCTTACAATAAAAATAAAAAATATTTTTTTAAAAAAACTAACTTTATTTTTTATTTCGGGAAAATTCATGAGTTTTGGTTGAAAAATACGGTGGAACCAAAAGTGGCTCGACCTCAAAACAAGCATTTTGTGAAGAATATACCAACCGCCGGAATTCCGGCGGTTGCTTTTTATACAAAATTCAACGGGTGAAAGAATACGATGAAGTCATGACAAAACATGTACGATGAAGTCATGACAAAACAAGCATTTTGTGAAGAATATACCAACCGCCGGAATTCCGGCGGTTGCTTTTTATACAAAATTCAACGGGTGACAAAACATGTACGAAGAAGTCTTGACAAAACATTTACGTTCATGTTTGACAAAGCATGTACGAAGAAGTCATGACAAAACATTCATGAAGAAGTCTTGACAAAACATTTACGAAGAAGTCATGACAAAACATTCATGAAGAAGTCTTGACAAAACATTTACGAAGAAGTCATGACAAAACATTTACGAAGAAGTCATGAAAATTCAAGAGGGTGAAAAAAAATGACACTTTTTCATTAGATAACTGTTATTTTTTGACGAAGTGAAGAGTAACACTTCGTCAAAAAAATCCCTGAAATCATATCTAACATACAAAAAAATGACACTTTTTCATTAGATAACTGTTATTTTTTGACGAAGTGAAGAGTAACACTTCGTCAAAAAAATCCCTGAAATCATATCTAACATACAAAATAAAAAAATAAAACTAACTTTATTTTTTATTTCGGGAAAATTCATGAAAATTCAAGAGGTGAAAAAACAGGTGAAAAAGGAGGTGAGATCGCACCACTTCACCTAAATTATATTTTTGGGTCCTTTACGCTCATTACGATGAAGAAGTCATGACAAAACATTTACGATGAAGTCATGACAAAACATTTACGATGAAGTCTTGACAAAACATTTACGAAGAAGAAGTCATGACAAAACATGTACGAAGAAGAAGTTTTGACAAAACAAGCATTTTGTGAAGAATATACCAACCCGCCGAAAACAGCGGGTTGCTTTTTATACAAAATTCAACGGGTGACAAAACATGTACGATGAAGTCTTGACAAAACATATACGAAGAAGTCATGACAAAACATTTACGTTCATGTTTGACAAAACATATACGAAGAAGTCTTGACAAAACATTTACGAAGAAGTCATAACTGCCTTCCTCCTGTGTTGTTGTCAAAATGTCATGTTGTCACACTTTTTCAGAGAAGTTAAAATGACCGAGGGACCGAGGGACCGAGGGACCTGGTGACACCTAAAAACCATCTACCCTAAAAGTATTTTTCAATACTTTTTCAGCACTTTTCCGTAGTTATATATGAAAGACAATTCGAGATAAAAGTCATAGTACAATGGAACAATATGTTGCACACCATTTGTTGTGAACCAAACTTGAAAGTCAGAGAAACTGTTACTAGGTGGTTCGTAGAATTTAGAAGCAAAGTCATAAAAGTCCTTGCCAATACATAGAAAACTATTGTTGCTTGAACTGAAACTTGCATGACACATAACATTTTGAGGGTCAAACACGTTTCTATAAACTGTCAAATCTGCTGGTGGAAGTATAAATTTAAATGGACCATCTGGTGGTAATGGTTCGTTCTGGTTTAGTAACCGAAGAAATTGTGCCCAAGAACGTTTGTCTACTCCCCAAAATAAAAACTCCGTATCTCTTGGAGGGTTAATTTCAATCTTTTGAAATGAAACGGTGGAGTTCATCTTGTCATATTCTAGTTTCAGATAGTATGTTCCATTTAGTAAAGAGTCGTATTTTTCTTGAAATTCCCAATAGTATTTGTTCATTTGAGTTTGAAAGTCATTTAGAGTTTTCTCAAGACTTTCGTCTGAACGAATTGTAAAGATTTTCATTTCGTCAAATTTGTCTATTAGACCATCAGAACCTTTATACTGCCCATGAAAATATACTGCGAACATAAATGCGTTAGTTCTATTTGAAAACAAAACTCTTCTAAATCCTATTGCCTTTGCATCTGAAGGACTTTGAAGCCAACGAACTGGATAGTCAAACCTGTACGCTCGGGATGAAATTTCTTCATCTGAAATAGTCCTACCAGCATTTGTAAAGATATAGTCTAACGGTTTTGTATCTGCTACTTTTGTTCTTTGTTTTTCAACCTGAAGCATTTAATATATGTAAAAATATATTGTTTAAAAATGGTATGCCATATAGCTTCTTGAATTTGTTAAGAAGTATTTTAACGTATTTTCCATCTGTATCTCTAGTGTTTACATAAGCATAGCCTTCCTTAGTAAAATATACTTGTAATTTCCTATAGTTTACGCCGGTATAAAAGTAGAAAGAGTCTTGTTCTTCGCTATAGTAGTAAAACTCAAACGTATGCTCGCCATAGTCTGTAATTTCAATTGTTTCATCTTCTAGTTCGTCGACAAATTCGAATACAATATCTCCAAATTTGCCTTTGTTCTTATTGTTTTCAGAACGAGTGACCCAACGTAAGTTTTCAAGTCTATTGTCGTTTCTTATATGGTTTATATGGTCTACAAAAGGTAAATTGTTAGGATTCAGTATAAAATGAGTTGCAATGACAACATGTTTAAAATAGTGTTTTCCACCCATCTTCATCATAGCATATCCGTTATTTCGCTCCATTCGCTTAAAACTCTTTTTGTCTTTTTGTTTCTGACTTCAAATGACTCACAACAGTGAATTTCATATTTCTCATCTAACAAACAAGTTTCCCAACGGTCTGCTCCAACAAACTCAGCGTACATTTCAAATAAAATAAAAAAATATTTTTTTAAAAATATATTGTTTTAAAATGGTATGCCATTTCATATTTCTCATCTAACAAACAAGTTTCCCAACGGTCTTCTCCAACAAACTCAGCGTACATTTCAAATAAAATAAAAAAATATTTTTTTTCTCTTTACTTTACATAACCGCCTGCTGCCATAAGTCTTTGACGCCAACCCATACCAGCTAATGAAGGTTGACTTGGTTTAGTTTCCAAACTAAACTTTGGTTTTGGTTTATCTTCAGTTTTTGGTTCTCTTCTTCTATTGGTTTTTCGTCACTTTTCGGTTCCTTTGACTTTACCTCACCTGCAGGAACAGTTGTGTCGTCAACATCTTCATAAATATCATATGCCATTTGTTTTTGTTTTCCTTTCAACTTTTTGTGTTTGTTGTAAAGTTTAGAATATTTCGACTCTAAGTCAATGAGATGTTCTATAATGAACTGTTGGTCAGTGAAGTAAACTTTTCCATCTGTTGTCTCGAAAGCTCCTTCAGACTTCAATATTTTATTTGTGAGAGTCTGTTTCTTTTTTGAGATACTAGCCGTTCCATTTTTATGAAAAGTGACTTTGTAGTTAGGGTTTGTATTTCCAGACCTGGCACTTTCTATTATTGAATTTTTCTCTTCATCTGTAAGTTCTTTGACAGGTTTTGACAATGGTTCTGAACTTTTTGTTTGTGGTGTCAAATCTACCGTTTCAACTTCTTCGGTCATTTCATCTCAGTAAAAAATTTTAGTTTGGTTTGTTTTCAACTGGTTGTTGTTGTTTTTTAAGTCGGTCTAAAACTTCCTGAGGTATAGGAAGAACTTGACAAACACGTTGTGTAACTGCTGGAAGTCGACAAATCCATCTTGAACCCATTTGTCTCAATGCTGTATTGTTCATTTCATCTCAGTAAAAAACTTTACATTCCCCACGTTTGAGGCGGTTGAGGTTGGTTATTGTTTACCCACTGTTGTGCATGGTTATATCCTCTGTTAAAGAATCTTTCACCTTGGTCCATATAGTGTCCTGCTTGGTTATAGTAGTCATTTGCTTTGTTATAATAGTTTCCTGCTTGTCTTCCTACATTGTCCATCCATCCTTGAACTTTTCCTCTTGTTTCAGGATTTGGAATAAGATTTGTTGCATCTCGTGCTACATCCCAACCTTTCTGTACAGTTTGTATAATAGGTTGTGCTTTCTCTTTAAGTATACCTAATGTACTCAAAATCTTCCTTCCAACTCCAAATACACCTCTGGCTATTGTTCCCACTGCGGGCAAAAATCTGGATGCAACTCCTGCTAACGCGCCAAATAAACCCATTTCTTATAGGATAAAAATGACGAATCCAAACAAGGACCCTATGTTTCTAAAGCGACAAAGAAAGCACTCATGGTAAAATCTTTAGTTCAACACCAAATGCTTGGTTTATGGATATCTTGGAAAACATTCCGAGAGTTAGAACAGATGGACCACCATACTGGCTAATATTTGTCGGTCAAAACACAAGATACTGTGAAGCCATACCATTATGGTCCAAAAATATTTTAGATGTGAAAACTGCTTTGACAATATTCGTTGACAAATACCATCCAACAAAACTGACATCTGACTGTGAAAGTTCTTTCAAATCAGATGATGTAAAAAACTATCTGCGTTCAAAAAATGTAAACCAATATTTCATTGTCGACCAAAACCATTCTGCTCTTGGTGTCATTGACGGTTGTATAAAAATGTTAAGAGACTTAAACCAACCACAAGGTGGTGAAGCAAATGAAATGTCATATGACGACAAATATAGACACTTCTCCATGGCAAAGATGAGACAAGTTTTAAATATTTACAATAGCCGTAAACAAAAAGGTTTGGGAAACCACTCCCCCGAAGAAATGAAAAACAACCCTGACTTAGAGAAAGACTATATATTTAATAATTTAGTCAAAAGAGACAAACAAGAAAGAATGCCGGGCTTCAAACTTCAGAAAGGTGACAAAGTAAAAATAGAAATACCTAAACGCGACCCATATGAAAATACTATTGACTATGACAACAATGGGAACCCGACAGGTACTCACATTCGTGTTCGTAAAAATAGAAGAAAGTATACAAGAGAATATTATGAAGTTTTAGGCAAACATGGCAAAATGTACAGACTGCAAGCAGAAGATAAAACTACTATTGTCAGACCTCGTTTCAAACTTGTCAAAGTTCAAGGTGGTATACTTTCAAAGACAGTTCCTAACAAATATAAGACAACTCCAGACGAATATGCTAAAGAAGTGGAACATGACGACTAAGCATTTCTATACCATGCGTAAACTGTCATGTAAGGTGGCATGTAGTCTTTACTTTGTCCCGTTGTTTGCGTATACCCTGAAACGCGATGTGTATGGTTTCCTCCTCCTCAGTGTTACTCCAGTAACAATTTATAGCAAACTTAACGTTGTCTTTAACATCATATCCTTTACCTTTTGTCATTGCTGACCAATCCCAATATCTATGCTTATGCCAACCTGCTTGAGATGTACTTAAATCTATGTAGTGACTGTGTGCAGGTAAGTTTTCACCTGAAATCGTTTTACTTCCACCTGTTTCCTTTGAAGAGTTTGCACAATACAAAAACCTGTCGACTATTTGAGTCCAAGTTCCAAAACCAAGTACTACTTCTGGTCTGGTAGAGTTCATTGACGTATAAATAGAGCCTATAGGATATAATGTTTGAAGTATTTCTGTCTTTAATGTTTGAAGCTCTGTTTTGTCTGCTTTCTTGTCATATAAATCTTGAGCAGTGAATTTAACGTTATTTTCATCCTTCATGACATAAACATCTTTACATCTAATGTTTTTCATCGTCGTTATGTCGTCATCCGATGTTAAACCTTGTGGAAAGTTAGGAGGTTTCCAATATAATACATCCCCATCAGGTTCTTCAACCGTTCCTTCAATACTTTCTATACCAACAGTTGTGAAACTTGTATGTGTATGGTTCTTGTCTGCTTTCTTCTCTAACTCATCGTTAACATAAGTTTTATCTGCTTTAAGGTCTAAACATCCTGAAACCCATCCTGTATCGGCTTTAGTTTTTAAAATCTTCGATGTCCGTTCATGGTACCAGTCAACCCTTTCTTTCATTTCGTTATCTTTTTCATCCACATATTCCTTATCTGCCTTCTTATTTAATGCACTAGCCACACATTCCTCATCTGCTTTCTTTTCAAGGCTAACGTTTAAGTCTGTTATTTCAGATATAGAATGTGTATGAGTCTTTTTAGAATATTCGTTTTCAGCTCTCGTCACTTCACTTGACATTTTATTGTCAACATATGTTTTGTCTGCTAGTTCAGGATGAGTATGTTCTTTTGTTGCATAAGCTTTGTCAGCTCTTTCTTCTTCTTTTGCTATTGCATCGTCTACATATTCTTTGTCAGCTTTGTTGTCAACATCTGCTTTCAAAAGAAGTTCATTTATAGGTTTCTCGTTTAAAGTTCCTTTTGTTGGATTTATACAGACAGTATGGTTCTTATTGTCTTGAAACAGAAACTCATCTGTCATTGGGTTTAATGTCAGTTTTAAGTTTTCCTTCTTTCAATGACTCAGATATCTTAGAATAGTTTGAAAAGTTTGTTGTGTTCTTATTTAGAGCTTGTATAATGAGTTGTCGGTTGTGTTGTATTTCTCTCATAGACGCTGTTTCATTTGACATTTTTATTCTAGATAAAATATGCTTTCATAGAAAAAGAAAATTCTAGAGTTGCTACAACTAAACCATTAGATGAACTTTTTACGAATGTCGGTCAAAAGTTTGAGACAGAGACCGTAAAGCATGAAGGCTATCGTTTTGACTACCCATTAAGATGGCTAAGAGACCCATCTGTCACAAAAGCTATTGGCTTTCGTAGAATGAAGTTCATTTCAGAAGCCATACATGGTTTCCCATTTACAGTCGGTTTTGAAGTTCGATACTATAACAAAGAAAACGTATGTATGAGAAATTTGAACAGGGAAAACTTTTACAAGTTAGTTTGTTTGTAAACTTAGAAACAACTCTTCAAGCTTTTCAAGAAAAAATAAACGATATCTATCTCGAATATGCAAAACAGTACAACATTGACGAAGGAGAGTACCATCTCGATATTATATATGACAGGAAAAATGCAACTGTTAAAATCAATAGAATAGAAGACCTTGGAGAAAACGTTTATATTTCTACAAAATATAACAACTTGGCATGGTATAGATTTATGAGGATGTTAAATCAGCCTGCAGCATATCCAGTACACCCAGACTTTTATGAAGTCGAAAACCCTAATGGAACATATGAAAATGTTTTCGACTCAGATGCTATTATAGTTCATGCTTCATTTTCTGGCGCCCAAAACTCTTTCTTATGCTTGGCAAATGACTTTTACGAAAAACCTACAAAGCTATATGAACCACCAAGTGGAAGTATTTCAGACTTTCAAGTATGGTTTACAACAGATGGAAGAAAGAGAATAATTCCATTATACCATGCGTTTTACTTAGAACTTAGTTTCATATACAACTACTATCGAACGGTAAAAATATAATTTTTTAATACGGTTGAGGTGTTGGATTTGGTTGCCAACTAGACTGTGGTGCAGGTTCAGGCTGTTGTATAACAGGAGCTTGTTCTTCTGGTTCAGGGTCTTTAGGTATAATACCAACGAACTGACCTACTCTTTTACCAATATTTTTGACTCCGTTCCAAATTCCTCTTCCTACGGTTTTTTTCCATTCCATATACCTCTTCCAACATTTCGAAAGAAGTTTCCAATACTACTGAAGAAACCCATTTACTACGTGTAAAAATCTAATGTCGCTAGTCTCTACGTTTCCTTCTGAGTTCCATAGCATTTTTTAACTGGAGCTCATACATTCTGTTTCTCCTTGGTAGAAAACATATTCTGGGTCAACTCCTGTGTTCGCGTCATCTGCATAAAGTTGTTTATATCCCACCTTCAGGGTTTGTATAAAACTCTTTTCCATCTCATATTTGCATACCATGGTGGCAAACCTAACGCAGCGTCATTTGACATGGCAGTTTGCATTTGTACATCTGTTGGCACTTGACCATAGTTTGCCATTGCAGTTTGTATTCTAACTTCATTTGGAATATTCTCTGGGTTTGGTTGTCCAGGTTGCTGCGCATTCGCTAAGTTCTGTGCGTCCATTTAATATTAGATAAAAATATCTCTTACGAGTACATATACTGGACATTTGCAGGCATTGGTTCATCTTCATATTCTCTGTACTTTCTGCCACGTCAAATAAATAAATGACACAATGGAAAAAACCTAAAACAAGTAGTCCTATTTCAAACCACATTTACTTACTAGTAAAATTTCTTTGTTATGACACTTTCTCCGGTTTATAGGACCTCTCTCATATTCTATCTTGTCATATCTAAACTCATAGGCATGTATGTCCTCTAACCATCTCATAACGGTTTCCAAACCACTTTTATCGGATGTAAAGTAAAAGCACGGATGGTTATGTAAAACGTCTAAAGTTTCTAAAGAGTCTCTCAAAGTCCAGTCTACTTGGTATTGAAAATCCCATGTGTTATAGAACGGCGGGTCCACTATAAAGAAAACATTTTCCTTGTCTTTATATTTTTCATACAACTCTGTCCAATGACATCTCACAAACTCTATACCCTAATATATTTTTCTATGTCCTCTTTGAAAACATTTGTATAGTTAAGATATAAAACGTTTGACATAAGTGTTTCAATGTCATGAACTCTTATAGAACCACTATATATAGTCTAGCAGATATACTATCCCAGTCTATATATTCTGCTTTTTTCAAAACCTCTCTCACAATATTTTTGTTATTAATGGTATACGTTCCATCTTACCTATAGGTATCTTTTCTTTTAACGCTTTCAATATATTGTTTGTGTCTGGTATATGTTTGAGACGGTCCATATAGTTGTCGAAGTCATTGCATATAATCTTTGAGTCTGGGAATATTGTATGGCACAAATGGGATATATAGAAACTTCCACCGAACAAATCTACAAATGTTAGACCATTCGGTAGTTTCTTAGTTCTCTCAATAGAATATCTTTACATCTACTCTTATTTCCAAGAACGGTAACGGTTTGGTTTTGTAAAATTCATTTATATATAATAATAAAAATGTTTTTTCCTGAAAAGTGACAGAAAAGGCTTCTCAAAGTATACTTCCTTGGAACGCCCGTAACTTTTCCTGTAGCGACGATAGACCCTTACTTGTCCGGACAAAGTTATACTAAACATCTTCAGGGCTAGAGGGCACGAAGTGCCTGGAGGCCCCACTACCTTTTTTTTTTTTTTTTCTTTTGTATGTTATTTGTATAATTCAAAATTTAAAAAATCAAGAATGCTTTACCTGAATGCAAGTGGAAAGAATTTCCTTAAGAGTAGCGATGGCTTGCTAGGGAAAATCTGCTGAGCTGGTGATTATAAGGAAGTTGTTGGTGGTTTCAAGTATAAAATTCCTGGTATATGTGGTTTACGGTTATATATTCTGTCAAGCCAATCATAGGAATATTTTTCTTGAGTCTTTGGCTTTTCATTGCTAGTTGGTGGTTTCAAGTATAAAATTCCTGGTATATGTGTTTTACGGTTATATATTCTGTCAAACCAATCATAGAAAGATTCTTCTTGAGTCTTTGGTTTTTCATTAAAAAAAAAAAAAAAAAAAAAGGAGTGGGGCTTCCAGGGGCTGCGCCCCTTCTAGCCCCTAAAAAACCTAGAGGAGAACTAAAAAATTATATAGTAAAAAATTAAAGTTTTTATTCGATAAGAACGACATCGCTATCGTTTTCTTCTTCCTCCTCTTCTTCATAGTCAGTATCTGATGGCTCTTTGTCAGCCACATGACCAGCAACAAATATTGAGACAAATTGTTTCTTTGGTTTTGTTAGCAGGAACTTTTGATGGTCGTAGAACACGAATTCTACATTTTGAAAATGTTGTGCTGAGTATTCTGTGAAATGGGAAATTGGAATTGGTTCTCCCATGCCAAAACCAGCAATGGACGCGAACAAAACATCGTCTTCGACTCTTGCAGGTTTGTCAATTGCAACAGTAGTTATGATGTGAGGTTTTCCTTCACATCCTGCAAGAGATTGTACATGATAGATTGCTTTTTCTTCTCCCTCAGGAACTGAAAGTGTGAAATGGAATGAGAGTTCTCCATATTCATTTGCTTCTTCGTAATAGTTGTATGTTGTAGGATACACCAATTGAAATTTTCCTATTCTTGTTTCCCTCAGGTGTTGTCTATATTGCTTGGGAAAACATAAAATAAATTGCTCTATAGCTTGTGTTGCTATTAGATTGGTTGTAACTGGTAATTTTGAGGCGAAAAGGTCTACAAGAACACCGGGATTTTTTATGTCGTTTTCAATTGGTTTAACAGATTCTATGACTTTGTTAAACATTTCACTATAATCTGAGTTGTCTTCGACTCCCCAATTGTTAAGAAGTTTATACAACAATTTCAGTCTTTTCATGGCGTATTTTCTTTGAATGGATTCGGGTAGCGAGAGGTTACAGTCGTCGCTTTGTGTTTCGTTACTCGAATATTGTTCAAGAGAAATTAAATCTTGAAATTGTGCTCTTGTTAACATACTTGTAGAACTATGTGAAACTTGTTCTGGTGCTGGTTGTAAATCTGTTTCAGATGTTTCTGTTGTGTTTTGAGAAGAAGAAGAACTCAAATTGTTGGACAATTTGTCTTGAATTGTAGAACTATGTGAAACTTGTTCTGGTGCTGTTTGGACAACTGTATCTGTTGTGTTTTGAGAAGAAGAACTCAAATTGTTGGACAATTTGTTTGCAATTGTATGAGGAAGTTGCTTTGGTATTATAGGAGGTTGTAAGGGTTTTGAGAATGGTGAGACATAAGTTGTAGGAACTTTAACTGCAGAGGTAGTCGACGAATTGTTTGCAATTGTATGAGGAAGTTGCTTTGGTATTATAGGAGGTTGTAAGGGTTTTGAGAATGGTGAGACATAAGTTGTAGGAACTTTAACTGCAGAGGTAGTCGACGAATTGTTTGCAATTGTATGAGGAAGTTGCTTTGGTATTATAGGAGGTTGTAAGGGTTTTGAGAATGGTGAGACATAAGTTGTAGGAACTTTAACTGCAGAGGTAGTCGACGAATTGTTTGCGACACTTTTTCTTCCTTCCATTATGAAAAATAAACTGTTTTTTTCGGACTACTCATAGAAAAGTTTAAAATAAACGGTTTTTACCAACGGAGACCCCCTCTATTTTTTTATTTTATTTAATAGTTACCGTTGGCAAACCGTTCCATCTCAAATATTGAATGAACTATAAACGTTTTTTGTTTTCTATATATACTTTTTTGTCCAACGGTAAAACTTTTTACACAACGGTTTTTGAGAGTCGTCGCCGTTGACTTTTTTGTAGAGCACTCAAAATAGTATAACTTTGTCCGGACAAGTAAGGGTCTATCGTCGCTACAGGAAAAGTTACAGGCGTTCCAAGGAAGTATACTTTGAGAAGCCTTTTCCCCTTATAGAATGAGATAGGACGGTTATTTTACAAAACTGACAACACTTTGACCGAGTAGTTTTTTGTGCTGAACAAAAAGTGTCATATAAACATCTGTCAAAAACCGCTTTTTAACTTCACTTAAAATGCCACGTAAGCTACGTAAGAATATACGTAAGAGGAAGAGAGCATTGAAACATCCAATAGTAAAACTGACACCACAACAACAGTTGCAACAACAAATGCTGAATGACCCCACTATGTTGCAACAAATGTCAAGCAATCCTATGCTTTTAAACCGAGTTGTTGGTGCACAGAGTGGAGGTTTAAGAGCGGCACTTTTAGCGAAAATGGCAGGCTATGGTGGAGCTGCAGACGGAACAGCTATAACCCTCAAAGTCAAATGAATTTGAGTTCACTCAAAAATCAAATAACAGATGTCAAAAAGTCAAACATAGACATACAGAAACAAATAAGTGAAAACGAAAAGAAACTAGAATATGACAGACACACAAAGAAACTCAATGAGTTAAACGTAGAGAAAAAGAAGAAAGAAGAACAACTGAAAGAACTAAGTACAGAGGAATATGCGAAAAAAGTGTCAGAAAAAGCAGCAGAAGTAGCAAAAATGGAACAAGATGTTATAAATTTGAAAAACCATACTACTCAATATAAAGTACTGAAAGATGAAGAGATAAAACAAAAAGCCCTGAAGACATATATGGATAGCGATGAGTATAAAAAAGAAGTTGAAGCAAATGTAAAGGCAGAAAAACTTTTACAGTTGCAAAACCAAACCGTACAGTATGAAAACTTAGCACAAGAAAGTAAAAATAACGACGCAGCCATGCAAAAGGCAATGAAAAGCGCAGAATATATAAAAGCTAATAATGACTGGTTAGATGCCCAAGCCAACGCTAAAGCAGCCCAACTTATAGGGTCAATAAGGACAAAAATACAAGCGGATGAAGACAGTTCAAATGAAGCTTTAATGAATGCTGACTTTAAGAACGCCTTCGAAGCTCTTCATAGTAAGGTGAAACTAGTGAACGACTTCTCATCTGGAAAGAAACTGAAGTCTGAAGGTTTCGACAAGAGTTAAGAGAAGTAGCACAAAATATGACGAAAATAACAGATGCAGCAACGAGACAGGCAGTTCAAAGTGCCTATGACGCCGTTAGAGCAACTGTTGTGGAAAGTCAAGAAAAAGAGTTACAACAGACCAAAACAGACCTAGTAAATGCTTTCTTAAAAACGAAAAGTCAGGTAGGACATTATGCTGCAGATGGAACATATGTGCCAGCTGGTGGAACTTATATACCACCAAACCCTCCAAGAGAAGCACCTGCACCAGGACTACCTAAAACATTTACATCGTCACATGGACACAGACACAGGCATGCACAACAACCACACAACAACCACTCCACAACCAGCACAACAACCAACAGTTCAAAACCTGCACAACAACCACTCACAACCAGCACAACAACCACAAACAGAGCAAGGACATAAAAGAAGTAGAGAACAAGGAAACCAAGAATTCTTAAAAATGCTTAAAGAAGAGTGTGGTTTCCCAGATACTATTGACTTTAGTGACAGATATAAAGAAGCTATTGGAAAGTTCAAGGATGGAAATACTGACCCGAACCTATTTAGCTTTATGGCTCAGCACCAAAACGGATATAATCTCAAACCTGGAAAATACAAGCTCGCTAAGGGATATGATTTAATAGCATATCATCCAAATGACATGGATGAATTTACTCCGAGATATTTGATGTCAGAGCTAAATGACAATTCAACTTTCGTCATGAAACGCGTAAAAAATAGAGACGGAACGAAAGAACAAAAGCTTATGAATGCGGATGACGTAGATAGGGAAATTGTTAAAAACGGTCTCGGAATATATGAAATGCCAGCAGATGAGGTACAAGAAACTCCACAGGAAGAAGTTCAGATACAACCAGACATGGAAGAAATAGTTCAGCAACAACAGCTAGAAGAGCCTGAAGGAAACGAACAAGTCCCTCCTTTGGAAACTAACCTCACAGAACTAGATGAAGATTTGGAACAGCCGAAAAATCTTGACCCTCAACAAGAGTATGCGGAGAATCTGGAATATTTCCAAGAGTCTAAAAAAAATTCGGCTGACATAGTAGAAGAATATCGAAAAATGTTTGCCGACATACAAAAGACTCCAACACCAGATGAAAATATTCAGCATAGAATGGAAGTACTGAAAGAAAATGTACACAAATACAACAACCCTTTTTACTTACGAGCATTTAACGTTCAATCTTCGGATGAACTCGGTGAAAATAAAAGGTTAAATTTCAAGAAAACATATAGAAATGAAACATTGTTTAAAGTTCATTCAGAACCTAACCAAGATGGAAACAAACCTACTTTTGTTTCTGCAGACGATGGAACTACAATGAGATGGGGTCATAAAGCTAATCCGGATAGGTGGTTCATAAACTTACAACCACAATTCCAAGAAGTTGTAGACGCAATGGAAGTGAATGGTGAACCAGATTTAGCTGGTATTTTCAGCGCGGCTTTAATGCCATTGAAAGATATGAAACATGCAGATATTTTGGACCAGTATGAAATGAACATGGCTGATGGAAATATAACACCTGACGTTCTAGAACATTTATCTCAAAGAACTACACAGAACCATAGAGATGGTATATTTGGTGAAGAGTTTAGAAAGAAAGTTAGGGAGGAGAAGGAAGAGAACCTATTGTACATGACCTTGCAAACGAAAGTTTACAAAATGTCATAAAAACTTACTTTGCAGACAATGAACGAGAAGGGATGAATATTTAAGAAAACTCAAATGGACAGTACCAAATGAAATGTTAGTATTGAAAAACATGTTCCTTGACAAAATAAAACCAACTACAGAAATAAACGACGCAAGACTGAAAGATTGGGTAAAAGCTTTCCCATTCACAAAAGATATAGTTGGTAACATGGAAAGAAAACCAGAATGGCTACAAAAACATATATTTGGAAACGAGCATATTCCATATGGACAGGCACTGTTTGAAGAGCTTGAACCGGAAACTCAGGAAAGAGTCATGCAAACAATACGCGAAGACTCAAATACAAACTATGACAAACTCTTTCTAGGATATAGGTTACCTGAGATGGGCGACCAGAGCCAAAAGGCAAAAAGGACATGGGAAATTTGCAACATACTAGATGAACATAATGCAAAGATGCAACAACTTCAAGCAGAGGGCAATGAAGGAAAAAGAAGAGTTAAAAACTCAGTCAGGAAGAAAGTAAAGCTTGGTCCACGTGGGTTCTATTATGACATATAAATCCAACTATTCTATATTTTTACTCATATGAAATGTACGCCGCTCAGAATATAACGCCAACAGTTTTGGATGCCATGAATGGAAATGTTTCCGAATGGTATAACGAATGCGACAATGCCATTAGAAGGTCAGAAATAGTTCCTGGAACTTACGAATATACAACTGCTGTTTCTTATGGAAACGTAGGTGAGTTTGGAGAAGGTTCTTCAACAACAGTAGATATTGCTTGCGACAGGTTTCATATTAATTTCTATTGACAACTCTTTCTTATACGTGGAACAAGACATTGAAATAAAACCTTCTGCCAAGTTGTCTGACAAGAAAGGTTGCAATGGAATTTTCTATGTCGGATACCAATATGCTCCAGAAGTTTTCATGGGATATAAGATATATTCTAACTCTGACTTAGTTCAAACAGTAACATGGGCAAACTATGAATGGTTCGCTTTGAGAAACTCAGTACAACCACAAGCTAGAGAACAAACAGACCAGTATGCAACTATTGAGAAAATAAGAAGACTTGACCCTAACGTTCCAGGAGTTTATGTTAACCTTTCTGGACAAACTGCAGCAGCAGTAACCAAAGTAAAACTGAAACTTAGAGTTCCTTTGTCATCTTTCCTCATCTTCAGGTTTTTAAGATACTTGCCAAACTGGGCAGGAAAAATTTCTATCGAACTTACTCCAAGCAAAAATAACTTAGTCATTGCACCAACACAAGACCCATTCACTCTTACAGAAGTAGTGGAACAAATAAAACGTCATTCGCCGACTTTTGCAAAGACAAAGTTGACTTAGACTTTGGTTTCTCAAACCTCAACACTGAAGTAAACTATTATTTCAATGCTGCTGGAACTGCTTGGGACCCAGTTAAGTTCACATGCGAAAAATTTGAATGCAAGAGAATAGAAAGCAGACTTGCAGTCTATATGTTGGACCCAGATATTTCAAATGCTTTAGCTGCCAAATATATTGCAGTTCCACTTATGTTCCCTATACACCAAATATCTGTCAAAGACTTTGCAGGTGAAGTTGGAAACCAAAGTGCTGACCCAGGTGCAAGAACAGATATTGCTTTAACAACTGCAATGAAACATGCAGATACTATGTTTGTACTGTTCAGACGAACTATAAATGACTATTCTTGTTTCTACAACCCGGTATTAAATATCATATAAACATAGATGGCAAATATTATCCAAGAGAAGAATATTCTACAGTTGAGGATATGAGGTCATACAACTTGACATTAGATGCTATGAACTTTAACAACAACTTCACAACAACCATTAACCCTGAAATGCAAAGTTCTATTATGCCATATGTGAAAGTATGGACTCATACAGGAGGTCAAAAAACTCAATATACAAATGGAGACCGTTCAAACTTTTGGCTTGGCATTCCATTTGCTGACTCAGAAGACTTTATGGGTGGTATTTCAACTGTTGGTACAGTTCAAATACAATATACTGGTGACAGAGACGGTCCAGATGAATTGAAGCAAAGAAGTTTACAAAACCAATAGCACTTTTCACGGAAGATGCTCTTTTGAAGATTCGTTCGATGAAACCTGCTGGGGCTCCTCAGATTGGCATAACGACAGCTTCCATCGAGCAGATTTTGGCAGCAGGTCAGTAAGTTGTTCTTGAACTGACTTCTCTCCGTCAAATATTGACAGTACGCCAGTTTTGACATAATATTGTATTATAAACTTACCTTTAGAAATATCGGTCAGTTTTGTTGTTATATTTTTGTCTGCTTCAAGAACTTTCACCATTTCAGTTATACCAACTTTCTTTGCTTTATGAAAATATTTTGGTTCAGCAAAGACTGCTATTCTATAACATTTTCCATTGTTTGTGTAAAGAACTATTCTGTCAATGAACTTGTATTGTTTGTGTGTGTAAACTTTGTTTTGCTTCAATTCGAAGAGATACTCGAATACGTCCATCTTTTTATTCTAAGTAAAATGTCATTTCCGAAAAATAGAAGCGTAAGTGTTTCAAAAGGTTTAATGGCGGTGGCAGATGTGAAGTTAAATTCACCAACTCAAACAAACAGTCAAAGTGTTGTTGTCAATGTCAAAGAAAGAGATGTTGAAGTGGGGAAACCATACGAAGACGAAGATGGTATAACAATGTTCCTGTAAAAGAACAACCAACATATCCTGAAGTTAGCAGAGACTTAAGTTCTGTTGCAGATATTCGAAACGACTACCAACAACTTAAAGACAAACTTAAAACTCAGGAGAAGATTTGTCAAGCTTTGGTATAATGTTAAACTTGGTCGAACACAACCCTGTAAAAGTGAACTCATATGTCATGCACCTCATGAAGTTTTGAAAGAACTATTGAAACTTTTGACAGAGGCAGACGATATAAACATCAAAGAAATAGAACCCGACATTAGTTGCTGTGGTGTTTCATATAATGTCATTGACAAGATATACGTTATGAAAGGAGGTGAAACGTTGAACTTAAAATATAGTTTCCCAGACGTCATAAAAATATTTGACGACCACAACATTTCATTAAAATTTATTTGCTAAGTAAATGGCAGAAGACATATGGTTTATACTATTACGACTAAAAACCCTGAGTCATATAATTCTATAACAACAAACTTACAAAGTCCTCAAGGACGATATTGTAAACTAACCTTAAACACAATGACGACTAAAGCCTGTTTTGCTCTTTTGACACCAGAAGACTTTATTGTTGTGAATGGTAAAAAATACTCCTTTGAAGATACTTACTCAGATATACCACCAACAGGTTTTGTTGACTTATTTAATACTTTAAGGACGGAGTGTAACATGTGCTGCAACTAGAGCAGGTTTCATTATGTTTGGATGTCCGACTGAGTTTACTATAAACGATATGAGCTATAATACAAAACTTATATCTGGTTTTTACTACCAACAGTTTCCTATAACAGGAAAAGGTGTCATACAAGGAATGTCTGTTCCATTGACTTTAAGTACACCTATTTATATATTGTTTCAAACTTAGGTTCAAAGTGCTATTCGAATGTCGACAGAAACTACTATGACCAAAAGATACTTATGCGTATAAACAACACTTTCTCTGCTGGTTTGCCTATTGTTCATTCGAATGCAGATTTTCAGCTTAGTGAACTCAAACACTTTAGCAAACATAAACTTAACCTTAGTTGACGCAAACTTTGTTCCTGTAAAACTTTTATGTCCTATGTATTTGTCAATGACGGCAGAAAGTTTCGAATTGGAAGATGCAACTGGTGAAAGTATTGTATTACAAGAACAACTTCAACAACAAATAGCTCAAGAACAACAAATGCAACAACAAAGTCAAGAATAAAAAAAATATTTTTTTTTATTTTTATAAAAATGTACAGAATAGATGTTTCAGATTTTTATGACTTCCAAGCATTCAGAAATATGTGTCCATTTAGAGACTATAACAAAGCAGTCGAGAATTTGAAACGTTTAGTCATTTATGTCGACTCTGCCCCAGAATGTTATGTCATGAAAGAATGGGATGTTGTCTTTAACAAACCAAGAGCAACAATAGTTTCAGAACAAGAATGTAGACAGAAACTTAAGAAAATAAAAGTCGTACAAGTTGGCATGAAGATGTTAGATGCTTGGGATATCTTATTGTCAAAGTTAGAAGATTTTTCAGTTCGAGGTATAAAGTTCTATACACCTTCTCCAAACTTCTATTCTATCTTCACTGGATATAAATACGAACAAGTAGAATGGAAAGAAAATATTATAGAAGCTTGGTTAGACCATGTCAAAGAAATTATATGCAATGGAAACGAAAGAGTCTATGAGTATATCTTATGTTGGTTTGCAAACATCTTACAACATCCAAGTGCTAAAAATGAAACTGCTCTCATTATAATTGGAAAACAAGGAACAGGTAAGAACACTTTCTTTACAGATATTTATGCAAACTGTTAGAGGGCTATTCGAACCCGAATATGACAAACTTAGAAAACATCTGCGGCAATTTAACTCTCAATAGAGAATATGAAACTTATAGTTGCAATGAACTTCAAAGTATAGATACAACAAAAGTTTTGAACTCAGATGCTTTGAAGAGTCTTATAACAGACAAAGTTGGAGTTGTTGAAAGAAAATATAAAGACCAAAGAGTTTGTGAAAATGTTGCAAACTTCATTATGGTTTCAAACAATGCTGTTCCGATGAAGTTAGAAAGTTCTGACAGAAGATATGTAGTTGTCAGAACGTCAGATTCTCATATGCAAGATACAGAATATTTTGACGACTTAGCAGAAACTTTGACATCTGACTTTTACAACCACTTGTTCTCATATTTATGACATTAGATATTTCAAAGTTCAATCCAAGACAAATTCCACATACCGAAGAGAGACAAACATTGTTAGAAGCAAACAAGAGTGTATATGAACTGTTCATAGATGAAACTGACTTTGAGTGTTTAGATGAAAGGTCATTGTACGATTCGTATAAACAATATTGTCAAGTATGGTTATATGCAGCGTCTAAACGAACATTCTTGGCAAATGTCAAAAGTCTTTTAGATGTTCAGAAGGTGTATATACAAAGAAAAATTTTTCTGAGTAAATTTTAAAAAAAATTTTTTTTATCCGATAGAAAAGGCAAAATTCATCTCAGTAAACAAGTACATGACAGAACAAAGAAGCTAGACCCATTCACATATTTGAATGTTTACTTCTACCATTTTGAAAAGTCTACATTTGACAAAGTTTGGAACATCGAACCAGTTAAGTTTGCTATTGTGAAAAATGGTGCGAAATTTGAAGACTTAGACATAGAAGGTTTGTTAGCAGTCAAAGAAAGTTTTGACAGAAGGTTCTCAAACCTTAAAGAAGGCAAAGCATACAAACTTGTTATACCTTATGAACCAAAGAAAGCAGACGACTATGAATATTATGAGTCTAAGATAGTTGAAGTTCAAGGTAAATTGGGTAAAAAGATTTTAGAGTCTAAGCCAGTGTTTGCTCCTAAAGAGGAAGAGAACATTGACATTGACCCAGAAATGTTCTAAAAATAAAATTTTATTTTTACATGTCAAATTTCTTTTTCTCTGGAACTGGTTCAGGTTCTTTCTCTCTTCTACTTTCTTTTTTCTTTTCTTTCTTTTCTCTCTTCTTCTTCTTTTCTGGTGGAGTTATGTCAAATTCTCAGAACCATATTTATGTAAAAGTTCTTTGTCCTTTAATAGCTCTTCTATTCTGTTTTCTATTTCATCTTCAAGAACAGCGCATGTGTCTTCTTTGCATTCTAAGAACTTTTGTTGGACTTCATCTTTCCAAGGCGTCATCTCTGTCAACAAGTCTGTCATTGACAAATTTTAAGACTTCTCTGCTTAATGTTTTATGGTTCTTGTCATATTCCCAGAAACAGAACTTTAGAACAAATTCACCTTTCTTGTTTACACTATGTAAGATTTTATGGTCGACAGATGTTTTGCTGTCGAAAAGCTTGTCTCGAATATAGATAGCGAAATCGCTAGACATTTTCTAAAAGATAAAAATTTTAATTTTTCTAAAAATATGTTAGAAAAAAAGTTTGCTGACATTGACAAGAAATTTGAGAATGTTTTAAACAAGAACAAGAGGAAGTTAGAAAATGCTCAGATAAAACCCATACATGACAAGTTCTTATTTGCTCAGAATGGTATAACAGGTCTAATTGCACCACCTGGGTCGGGTAAGACTTTCACTTATCTTAAAATGGCTGCACAACAACAAGAACTAGATGAGAAGAACCCATTCTATGAGTTAGTTGTTATTTGTAGTACTTCTGGTCAATTTGACCAAACCGTCAATTCGTTCAAAGATATTATAAAGAAGTCTAAGTTAGTATGTATAAAGGATACTGAGTTGTTAGATTGGATAAAGAAGTACCAAAGAAGAGTTTTGAAGTATAATGCTATAAATGAGTATATAAATTCTAAGTTTAAAGACCCAAATGAGGAAATGCAGAGAATATTAGAGAAGAAACACTTCAGAAACAAACAGAAAGAGATAGAATACATTTCGAAGAAATTGCAATCTTACGATTGGAAGACTTACCCTCATAGATGTCTTCTTTATCTTAGATGACTTTGCTTCTCATCCTTTGTTAAAGAACAGAGAACAAGATATGTGTCGAATTCTTAAGAAGCTCAGACACTTTAACATCTCGTCATTTGTGTACAGACAGCAAAGAGTTTAAGTAAGGATGTTAAAGAATACTTACTGACATTATACTTTTCCCGGATTGTCCGAAGACGATTTCATGGAACTTATGAAAGAGTCCATGGCAGGTAAGTTTGACAGACATGAACTATGGGAGAAGTACAAAGTCATACAAGACCCTCATACTTCTTTCAGAATTCATATCTACGCAAACAAAGTTCAAATTGTAAAAAGTCAAGCTTGAAAAATAAAAAGAGTTTTGGCGACCAGGGTTTTTCATTACTCGCTGTTCTTCACGATTTTCGAGGGAAGCAAGCATATGAGGAAATTCATGAAATTCATACGGAATTCAATAAAAAATAATGTTTTAGGTGAGAGAGGTGATTTCACCTCTTTTTTCACCTCTTTTTTCACCTCAGTTATTTTATAAGCGTTTCACATGGTAAACGTTATTTTTTAAATTTTGTGAAAACTCAACGGTTTGACACAAGCCCTAAAAATTATTTTACTCAGAATTTTGTTGCTGAATTCAGCAAAAATAATGTTTAGGTGAAGAGGTGAGATTTCACCTTTTTTTCACCTCTTTTCTCACCTGTTATTTATAAGCGTTTTACATGAATTGTACGATGTATATTTGAAATCCTAAACAGTTTTGTAGCTTCTATTTCTTCGCTGAGGATATCGAATTTTTAACGATACCGAAAGTTTCTTTATACTTCTTCTTGACGTCAGATAATAGGAAATCTTCTGCTGTTGGATAGTTTTTGTTCAGAAATTCTAACATATCCATTTTATTTCTGCTGGTTTTCTGCTTCTTTCTTTAAGTCTGCATAGTCGTTTCGCATACGTTCTATCTCTTTGACGGAGTAGTTATATCTCCTCATTGCTGCTTTACATTTAGAACATTGCGGATTCATTTTTGCGTTATATCTGAAACCTTACCTGCTAAAACAACCAAGGCGTCAATTGCTCTCTTCATCTCAAACATAGCGGGTCTTATCTGTTCATTCCATACCTTACCCCTACTATCTTTATCTCTTATTTCCCATACACATTTTGCAACTAATGAAACAAAGTTTCGTAGGTCTTAAATTCTTCAGATTTGTAAAGGTCAGAGATGTTCTTATATAACATGTCGCAATCTTTGTCCATAACCTTATGGTTGCAATGAAAACCAAGGAATTCATAATTTACCTTTCGTATGAACTTCTTTATTTCTACTGAGTCAGTTGGTTTCACTTCAATTTCGTCAAATTCGGGAATAGTGAGTTTTTGCTGCTGAATTTCAGGCAATTTGGGTAAATGGTCAATAATGTCCTGCATTTCATAAAGATACTGTTCATTTGTTTCATCCTGTGCGGTACAGTCTAAATTACTTGTTAACAATTCCTGCTTTATCTTCTGGATTTTTGTTTCGAAAGTATATGAAGAAGGAATGAAGCTTTTCATCTCTACTAACATAGAAGTTGGGTTCATGACTAACGAGTTTGGTGCTGTTGTGCTAACATGTTCTTACAATAAAAATAAAAAAATATTTTTTTAAAAAAACCAACTTTATTTTTTATTTCGGGAAAATTCAAGAGGGTGAAAAAACAGGTGAAAAAAGAGGTGAAATCTCACCTCTTCACCTAAACATTATTTTTGGTGTAAATTTATGACAAAATTCAAATTGTAAAAAGTCAAGCTTGAAAAATCTAAGTGTTTAGTCTTAGTAAGATGGTAGCTTCTTAAAGCATATGCCGTCCTTGAGTTTTATGTACGTGAAGAGAAGTACAATGAATTCAATTACGAGTACAATTGCAATGACAACTAAGGCAACTATTTTTGTCTTTTGCCAGCAAGGGTACTTCTTCTCTTCCAATGGTTCGGCAGAACTATACTCACTCATGAGAAATGCCAAAACGGTTTAATAGAAAAAGTGTTATTTTTTTCATGTCCGAAGACTCGAAGGTGCAACACTTCCAAAATACCGACGAACTCAGAAGAGCAGCATGGCAGTATGTTCTTGACAACTTCTTTGAGTTCTCCAGGTACACCTTGGAAAATGCTGAAGAACTCCGACACAGAGAATTTGGAGAAATTGCACTCCAATACTACCTTGACAAACAAAGGGTAAACAAAGGGTAAAATAAGACTAAAAACTTAACGTTTAAAAAGTGACATTTTTATGAGCTCCGAGTCACCGAGAAAACTTGGTCAGATGTTAGCAGCTTACTTCCCTGAGGAGGATGGAAGCGTTAACATACGTAAGTTCAAAAACAACGAACCTGGAATTGCGTACCAAATTCGCAATTACATGACCATGGAAGAGTACGAAAGGTTCCTACAAAGAGAAAAACCAGCTCTAAACAACTCAGAAAAGAAAGAATAAAAAGTTTAACTCGTAATTGTTTATTTTTTTACTTGTATGGGCAAGCTGCAAGAATGAAGTCGACTATCTCAGTCTTTGTCTTGACCAGTTGGACTGCTCTTGCGAGTACGTCTGTTTTGCGGTCTCCAGCTGGTGTCTGACCTTCGTAATTGCGCATGTTCTTGAGAGCTCCAGTTGTAAATGGTTGTAGGATGAAGAGTCTCTCAGACTGCTTGAGGTAGTCGTCACGGTCACGAACCGAATCTGTGGTACGAGTCGAATTGGTCGACCTTAGGGAAGAGACTGAAAGCCTGTCGTCTTCCATAGGGGCTGTGGCATACTCTTTGCGTAAACGGTTCAGACCTTCTTCGAACTCTTGGTCTCTCTTCGATTTGGATTGAGATTGGAATTGCTGGGGTGGAGCTTGCTGGAACATCCAAGGGTTGGGGAAGTAAGGCATAGGCAGAGGAGGGTAGTTCGGGAAGCCTTGTGGTGGGTAGTAACCTTGAGGTGGAAATTGGTAGTAAATCGGAGGTACTTGCTGGAACTGAGGTTGCTGAGGAGACTGTTGTGGTTCTTTAGGTTCCTCTGGTTTGGGAATGGACTCGGTTGGTGGGACGTCGGACATTCGTTTGTGGCTTAACCGTCGGACCACAACGATAAAAATCTCTGCTACTAGCAGTACTGCTACTGACAGTAGCAGTACTTTTACTGACAGTAGCAGTACTTTTTCTGACAGTAGCAGTACTTTTACTGACAGTAGCAGTACTTTTTCTGACAGTAGCAGTACTTTTACTGACAGTAGCAGTACTTTTACTGACAGTAGCAGTACTTTTACTGACAGTAGCAGTACTTTATCGTCGAAAACCCTCTCAAATTTTCCTTTTTACTGACAATAGCAGTACTTTTACTGACAGTAGCAGTACTTTTACTGACAGTAGCAGTACTTTTACTGACAGTAGCAGTACTTTTACTGACAGTAGCAGTACTTTTACTGACAGTAGCAGTACTTTTTCTGACAGTAGCAATGGTCGAGGTCGAACCTACCGACGAGGCAATTTACCTAATTGAAATTAACGAGCTTGTTAAAGACTTCCTCAGGCAGAATGTAAAAGGCAAGCTTGTTAGCGGTTGGATAACGGGAAGGGCTGCCTTGAATCTCGAGACTTCGACTGGAATTCCAATTCAAATACCAGACGGGACAGCCTACGACGACATAAAGCAAGCAAAGAAAGAAGCTCTTCTCAAGTTCTTTGCAAAGCGTCCTTGGATACTACTTCCAAACAGAGAGAACCCTTTCCCAAGAATGAGCCAAATTCTCAAGGGTCTCCTTCACTTCTCGGGTCAGCCGTTCTACATAACCTGTGAAGGCGACATCCAACCAGTTCAGTAAACCTTAACGTTTAGAGTAAAAACATTTTTTTCATTTTTTTGAATGAAGCAAGTTAAATTCGTCCCACACCAAACTCAATGGACCGATGAAGAGTTTCAAGCTATGGTTGAAGTGTTGAGAACGACATAGACGGCGAACTTGAAGGAGCTCAAACCACAATTGCAACCAAAATTGCACAAGTCAAGGAACAGATAGCTCCACTTAAAGCTACCAAAGCTACTCTTGACCTCATGGATAGTTACCGTTTAGATGTCAAGAGTGGAATAAGACAATTAAAATTAAAACTTCTAAACTACGAAGCTATACTCCAAAAGTTAGCAGAAATGAGAAGACTTTACCAGAGCTACTTACATGTAAGGGACTTACCTTCAAGCAGTCCGACCAAAGATGAATTTGTTGACATTGTCCCAATTTTGTCCGAAAGTCAGCTCAGATGTTTCGAACTGCTCCCAACATATCCAGAATATGAACGTTTGCCTGAACTCTTCCGCAATCTCAAAAAACGTTTTTTGGTTCTCATGTTCGAAACTTTTATCGGAAGAGACAACAAACGTTCAGAAGAAAACAGATATTATTTTAAACTTGTTGTATGACTTAACCGTCATAACAAGCTTTTGAAGTAAAACCGTCATTCTCAAACCACTTCATTTTTTTCGATGTCCGAACAAGCACCGAAGCCGAACACAATGGCAGATGTCCTTTCAAGGTTGCCAGACAAGCGCCCAGTTCAAATTCAAATTATGCATTTGAAAGCTCATCTGACAAACACCGTTAAGACTCTCCAAAGTAGTCTTATGGAAGAGATGAAGGGACTTAAAGGTGAGTTCCTCATGAACCAAGCTTCCAATGAGAAAGTCCTGAACGATTTCACGGAAACCTGCACATTTACGCGAGAGAGAACCGAGACCTTGCCAGACTCATCTACCGTTTCTTCGAAGAGATAGACGCCATCTGGAAGGTACTCGAAAGGACAGAACATGCAACACCGTACTTCGTGAGTACCAAATTGAAGAAGGTATTATCAAAGAAGAGGAAGAAGAGGAAGAAGAGAAACACGAAGAAGAGGAAGTTTGGGCAACCCTTGTTGCCGATGACGCTTACGAAATTTCCCAACCCTACCCATACAAAATCCGCAACAAGGCGACAGGCAAGGTTCTTACCCCAGTCCTCAACAAACTTGGGACACTTGACCCTTACCCTTCGAAATTACGTACAATTTCCATGGGAAGGCTTGTCGGTATGCAATGGGTTCCAAATCCAAACAAGAAGACGAAGGTCAGACACATTGACGGTGACAAGCTCAACAACCTAAGGAGAACCTCGAGTGGTTCTAAGAGTAAAAAAATTTTATTTTAGGGGAAAACCCCAAGTAAATTTAAGTTTTTAGTTGCGTAAGCGGCTTAAATTAATGGTCATTTGCAAAATTAGTTCCTGACCTCTGAATTGAACTCTTTCGTCATCCCAGTTGCGTAGGAGGTCGTCCCAGAGGAGTTGGTAGAATTGCCAATCCAAGGACGATTTGTCCTCCCAGGCTTGAGGATGTACTGCTCGTAGAGTCTCATGACCTCTGCTTGCACCAGACACCCTCTCCCTTGGAACGTAAGGCTTCTTCGAAGTGCTCGAATGCGATTGGCTGCGGGACCATCCGAAATGACACTTTTTGTCCGTTTGGTCAATGTTCGTGTCTCGTGCCATAGTCGACGAAAATACAGACAAACAGGTTATATATGAGTTTGAGACCAAGAATGGTGTAACTCGACCTGTCCGATTCAAAGACTCCGAGGGCGACATGAAATTAAACGGAATTAGCTAGGAAGAATATAAAAATTTTTTATTTCATGCAATGTTTTATTTCTGTGCCGTCTTCTTTAACACCCCAGTACTTACGCTTGGAGAGACATGAACTTCGGTGAAAATTTTGTCAATTTGAATTGACCCATCTTTTCACCGACCATTCCCATTTCAATGAGTTTGTTATAGCCTTCTTCGTTCGTCATGAGTGCGTCGATGTTCTCATAGTAAACCTTGACTTTGATTTGACTTCGGAGAAGAATTTGTTGTACTCGTCAAGGACTGCCTTTGCGAACTGAGGATAGGACCAATGTTCGACAATAGGTTTTAATGTGGTTACTAAGCCACTTTGACCTTGAGTGAATTCGTACTTCAAAAACAAAGGAGAAAACCTTTAACAAAGTTGTCGACCTTCTCATAGTGTTTACTCTTCATCTTTTGAGTTTCTTAATGGAATATCCCCATGTCGAATTCATAAGCAATTTGAGTGTCATTGCAAGTTTGGGGTTTGAAGCTTTCCTAATATCATACAGTTGTTGTATGACTTTTCCAACTGTATAGTTCCTTCCCAGGAACTCACCATCTTCGTTTGGAATTCCAGTTGGAATATATTGGACAAACCTCATGTACGCAGCGTTAAGGTCGACATAGTATATCTTTTCATCTGAGTCGAACTTGTCGCAACCAATTGGTCCAGTTTGTGGAAATTCAAGTGAGTCTCTTATCTTCTGAGAAACCTCGCCTGTTATCTCATAAACATCGTCGAAGCAACCTGTTTCATATAAAACCTTCTGACCTAACTCAGATGCTCTCCAATACAATTTGACGTCAATTGGATGTCTCAATGGAAGTTTGTTTATAGCATCTTGAAGTTCTTGCAACCTCATTGGAAGTTCTTCTGGTTCAGGTTGGTATCCGAACAATCCAACTCCTTTTGGAATTGTGTACTTCTTTTGTACTAGAACTTTGTCTGGAAACAACTTTTGGTCTTGCTAACAGTGAAAAGTTTGTTTCGTCTTTTGGTACAAAAGTTTCTGTCAGCTTGTCATCTGGAATTGGTTCCAACAAACCTTTCTCGAAAAGAATGTTTACAGCTCTGACAATGTTGCACTTGCCTTTTCCGAACAATGGGTTTGTAAGACTTTCGTTCAACATGAAGTGGTTGTGGACAATTACAATCTTCAACCATGGTAAGTCTTTGTCAACAACATAGTCGTCATGTGAAGAACCTTTCTCAGTCGTATGTTGACTCGGATATTGACATTTGCCAACGGTGCAATTTTGCCAATTGACCTCTGAGAATGTACCTTGTCTTCACACATGACTCAAGATACTTCATCTTCTCATCTGTAACAAGACCAGAGTTCCTGAGACATGTAAGAATGCAAGGTTCATTGACAATTGTTTCAATTGAATTGTAAATTCCATACCTTGTTAAGTCAATGTCAGACTTATTTATGAACGGGAAGTATCCAGCATGTTGTCTGACTGCTTGAGGGTTAGGTTGGTACCATTCGAACTTGACACTTGCAATTCCTTCAATTGCATTCAAAATGTCTGAGTCGGAGTCAACCATTTGTTCTCTCTTTGTAGTCTTGAAAGCGTCAAGAAGTTGCAGCTGTTGTGACATTGCCATGTGCATAGTAAATGTGACCATCCAAATCTGTTATGGTCAATCTGAGATTGTATCCTTTCTTATTTCCGTCTTGTATGGCAGCAAGTACTCCCATGAAGCCTTCTTTGTTCTTTCCTTCGTCAAAGTTTACTGTAAAGGTTCGACCAGATGTAATTTGACTTCTAACTTCACGATACTTTTCATATGCATATCTTGTTCTTTCCATGGGAGCATGTCTCTGCACTTTTCCTTTTTTCCTTCTCAAAGGATGCAATTGTTCGTCATGTTTCCAGTAGAATCTGGCAAAGCCGTCGTGTCCTTCAACTTGAGGTTCACTAACATCGAAAGGCATGTCCATAAGACGTTCTTCTTCTAACCTCTCTAGTCTGTTTGGATAATTTGCGCGTGCTGTTTCCAAGTCCATTTCGTAGCGAAGACCAGACAGTTTGTCATAGACTTTTATGGGTCTTCCCTTCCTATATTTAAAATTCTTCGAAACTCTCCAACCATATCTTTGCAACTCTGCTTTTATTCTAGCAGATTTTCTATCCATTCTATATGGGGGCATTTTTATAAAAATAAAAAAATATTTTTTTCTTTACTTTACATAACCGCCTGCTGCCATAAGTCTTTGACGCCAACCCATACCAGCTAATGAAGGTTGACTTGGTTTAGTTTGGAAACTAAACTTTGGTTTTGGTTTATCTTCAGTTTTTGGTTTTTCTTCTTCTATCGGTTTTTCGTCACTTTTCGGTTCCTCTGACTTTACCTCACTGCAGGAACAGTTGTGTCGTCAACATCTTCATAAATATCATATGCCATTTGTTTTTGTTTTCCTTTCAACTTTTTGTGTTTGTTGTAAAGTTTAGAATATTTCGACTCTAAGTCAATGAGATGTTCTATAATGAACTGTTGGTCAGTGAAGTAAACTTTTCCATCTGTTGTCTCGAAAGCTCCTTCAGACTTCAATATTTTATTTGTGAGAGTCTGTTTCTTTTTTGAGATACTAGCCGTTCCATTTCTATGAAAAGTGACTTTATAGTTAGGGTTTGTATTTCCAGACCTGGCACTTTCTATTATTGAATTTTTCTCTTCATCTGTAAGTTCTTTGACAGGTTTTGACAATGGTTCTGAACTTTTTGTTTGTGGTGTCAAATCTACCGTTTCAACTTCTTCGGTCATTTCATCTCAGTAAAAAATTTTAGTTTGGTTTGTTTTCAACTGGTTGTTGTTGTTTTTTAAGTCGGTCTAAAACTTCCTGAGGTATAGGAAGAACTTGACAAACACGTGGTTGTGTAACTGCTGGAAGCCGACAAATCCATCTTGAACCCATTTGTCTCAATGCTGTATTGTTCATTTCATCTCAGTAAAAAATTTACATTCCCCACGTTTGAGGCGGTTGCGGTTGGTTGTTGTTTACCCACTGTTGTGCATGGTTATATCCTCTGTTAAAGAATCTTTCACCTTGGTCCATATAGTGCCTGCTTGGTTATAGTAGTCATTTGCTTTGTTATAAGTTTCCTGCTTGTCTTCCTACATTGTCCATCCATCCTTGAACTTTTCCTCTTGTTTCAGGATTTGGAATAAGATTTGCTGCATCTCGTGCTACATCCCAACCTTTCTGTACAGTTTGTATAATAGGTTGTGCTTTCTCTTTAAGTATACCTAATGTACTCAAAATCTTCCTTCCAACTCCAAATACACCTCTGGCTATTGTTCCCACTGCGGGCAAAAATCTGGATGCAACTCCTGCTAATGCGCCAAATAAACCCATTTCTTATGGGTTAAAAATGACGAATCCAAACAAGGACCCCTATGTTTCTAAGCAACAAAGAAAGCACTCATGATAAAAATCTTTAGTTCAACACCAAATGCTTGGTTTATGGATATCTTGGAAAACATTCCGAGGTATAGAGAAGATGGACCACCATACTGGCTAATATTTGTCGGTCAAAACACAAGATACTGTGAAGCCATACCATTACAGTCCAAAAATATTTTAGATGTGAAAACTGCTTTGACAATATTCGTTGACAAATACCATCCAACAAAACTGACATCTGACTGTGAAAGTTCTTTCAAATCAGACGATATTAAAAACTATCTGCGTTCAAAAAATGTAAACCAATATTTCATTGTCGACCAAAACCATTCTGCTCTTGGTGTCATTGACAGTTGTATAAAAATCTTAAGAGACTTAAACCAACCACAAGGTGGTGAAGCAAATGAAATGTCATATGACGACAAATATAGACACTTCTCCATGGCAAAGATGAGACAAGTTTTAAATATTTACAATAGCCGTAAACAAAAAGGTTTGGGAAACCACTCCCCCGAAGAAATGAAAAACAACCCTGACTTAGAGAAAGACTATATATTTAATAGTTTAGTCAAAAGAGACAAACAAGAAAGAATGCCAGGCTTCAAACTTAAGAAAGGTGACAAAGTAAAAATAGAAATACCTAAACGCGACCCATATGAAAATACTATTGACTATGACAACAATGGGAACTCGACAGGTACTCACATTCGTGTTCGTAAAAATAGAAGAAAGTATACAAGAGAATATTATGAAGTTTTAGGCAAACATGGCAAAATGTACAGACTGCAAGCAGAAGATAAAACTACTATTGTCAGACCTCGTTTCAAACTTGTCAAAGTTCAAGGTGGTATACTTTCAAAGACAGTTCCTAACAAATATAAGACAACTCCTGACGAATATGCTAAAGAAGTTGAAAATGACGACTAAGCAATTCTATACCATGCGTAAACTGTCATGTAAGGTGGCATGTAGTCTTTACTTTGTCCCGTTGTTTGCGTATACCTGAAACGCGATGTGTATGGTTCCCTCCTCAGTGTTACTCCAGTAACAATTTATAGCAAACTTAACGTCTCTTTAACATCATATCCTTTACCTTTTGTCATTCTGACCAATCCCAAAATCTATGCTATGCCAACCTGCTTCAGATGTACTTAAATCTATGTAGTGACTGTGCGCAGGTAAATTTTCACCTGAAATCGTTTTACTTCCACCTGTTTCCTTTGAAGAGTTTGCACAATACAAAAACCTGTCGACTATTTGAGTCCAAGTTCCAAAACCAAGTACTACTTCTGGTTTGGTAGAGTTCATTGACGTATAAATAGAACCTATAGGATATACTGTTTGAAGTATTTCTGTCTTTAATGTTTGAAGCTCTGTTTTGTCAGCTTTTTTATCATATAAATCTTGAGCAGTGAATTTAACTTTTTTTTCATCCTCCATGACATAGACATTTCTACATTTAATGTCTTTATCCGATGTTAAACCTTCTGGAAAGTTAGGAGGTTTAAAATATAATCCACCCCCACCAGTTTTTTCAATTGTTCCTAAAATACTTTCTATACCAACAGTTGAGAAGAAGTTATGTGTATGTCCAACGTCACTTTTACTGTTTAAGGTTTCTTGTAAGTTTGTAATATTTGCAATGGTATGTGTATGTTCTTGTCAGCTTTGCCATCTAACTTTTCTTGTAAGTTTGTAATATTTGCAATGGTATGTGTATGGTTCTTATCCGCTTTAAGGTCTAAACATCCTGAAACCCACCCTGTATTGGCTTTACCTTCTAAAATCTTCGATGTCCGTTCATGGTACCATTCAACCCTTTTTATAATTTCATTGTCTTTTTCATCCACATATTCCTTATCTGCCTTCTTCACTAACCCACTAGCCAGATATGCTAACTCATCGTCACATACTCTTTGTCAGCTTTCTTTTCAACATCCTCTTTTGTTGCATATGTTGCATCTGCTCTGTCATGTTCTTCTTGAACTTTTTCAATGACATACTCTTTGTCAGCTTTGTTGTCAATATCTGCTTTCAAAAGAAGTTCTTTTATAGGCTTTCTCGTTTAAAGTTCCTTTTGTTGGATTTACACAGACAGTATGGTTCTTACTGTCTTGAAACAGAAACTCATCTGTCATTGGGTTTAATGTCAGTTTTAAGTTTCCTTCTTTCAATGACTCAGATATCTTAGAATAGTTTGAAAAGTTTGTTGTGTTCTTATTTAGAGCTTGCAAAATGAGTTGTCGGTTGTGTTGTATTTCTCTCATAGACGCTGTTTCTTTCGACATTTTTATTCTAGATAAAATATGCTTTCAATAGAAAAAGAAAATTCAAGAGTTGCTACAACTAAACCATTAGATGAACTTTTTACGAATGTCGGTCAAAAGTTTGAGACAGAGACCGTAAAGCATGAAGGCTATCGTTTTGACTACCCATTAAGATGGCTAAGAGACCCATCTGTCACAAAAGCTATTGGCTTTCGTAGAATGAAGTTTGTGTCTGTAGAAGATAAAGTTTTCCATTTATTGTAAAGTTTCATATAGATTATATATCTGAAGGGAAACGAAAAATGTGGGAAGAAATTGAGCTAATACAGTTGACCTTTCATCTTCTCTACAGACTGCGTTAAAAATATAGAAGATAAAATAAATTCATGTTATGCAAAATATGCTGATGAATATGCAAATACCGAGAGCACACTTTATGTGAGAATTGTATATGACAAACAAAATTCACAAGTGTCATTTCAAATCTACGAAAACAATCCAAATAAAGACGAACAAATATATACAGAATTCACTGCAATGTCATGGTATTATTTGCAAAGAATGTTAAAATCAGAAGTCAAACTTCCTTTAGCAAATATTTACAGTCGATATGCAAGAGATGAACCATATTTATTTAAAGATGTTTTCGACCCAGCTGCTATTATTGTTCATGCTTCATTTTCTGGCGCTCAAAACTCTTTCTTATGCTTGGCAAATGACTTTTACGAAAAACCTACAAAGTTATATGAACCGCCGAGTGGAAGTATTTCAGACTTTCAAGTATGGTTTACAACAGATGGAAGAAAGAGAATAGTTCCATTATACCATGTGTTTACTTAGAACTTAGTTTCATATACAACTACTATCGAACGGTAAAAATATAATTTTTTAATACGGTTGAGGTGTTGGATTTGGTTGCCAACTAGACTGTGGTGCAGGTTCAGGCTGTTTGTATAACAGGAGCTTGCTCTTCTGGTTCAGGGTCTTAGGTATAATACCAAAAACTGACCTACCCTTTTACCAATATTTTTGACACCGTTCCAAATTCCTCTTCCGACAGATTTATTCCATTCCATATACCTCTTCCAACATTTCGAAAGAAGTTTCCTATTCTTCCAAAGAAACCCATTTTACTATATGTAAAAATCTAATGTCCGCCTAGTCTTTACGTTTCCTGTTGAGTTCCATAGCATTCTTTAACTGGAGCTCATACATTCTGTTTCTCCTCTGGTAGAAAACATATTCTGGGTCAACTCCTGTGTTCGCGTCATCTGCATAAAGTTGTTTATATCCCACTTCAGGGTTTGTATAAAACTCTTTCCATCTCATATTTGCATACCATGGTGGCAAAACCTAACGCAGCGTCATTTGACATGGCAGTTTGCATTTGTACATCTGTTGGCACTTGACCATAGTTTGCCATTGCAGTTTGTATTCTAACTTCATTTGGAATATTCTCTGGGTTTGGTTGTCCAGGTTGCTGTGCATTTGCTAAGTTCTGTGCGTCCATTTAATATTAGATAAATATCTCTTACGAGTAACATATACTGAACATTTGCAGCATTGGTTTCATCTTCATATTCTCTGTACTTTCTGCCACGTCAAATAAATAATGACACAATGGAAAAAACCTAAAAACAAGTAGTCCTATTTCAAACCACATTTACTTACTAGTAAAATTTCTTTGTTATGACACTTTCTCCAGTTTATGGACCTCTCTCATATTCTATCTTATCGTATCTAAACTCATAGTCATGTATGTCCTCTAACCATCTCATGACACTTTCCAAACCACTTTTATCGGATGTAAAGTAAAAGCATGGATGGTTATGTAAAACGTCTAAAGTTTCTAAAGAGTCTCTCAAAGTCCAGTCTAACTTGGTATTGAAAATCCCATGTGTTATAGAACGGCGGTCCACTATAAAGAAAACATTTTCCTTGTCTTTATATTTTTCATACAACTCTGTCCAATGACATCTCACAAACTCTATACCCTCAATATATTTTTCTATGTTCTCTTTGAAAACATTTGTATAGTTAAGATATAAAACTTTTGACATAAGTGTTTCAATGTCATGAACTCTTATAGCACCACTATATAATAGTCTAGCAGATATACTATCCCAGTCAATATACTCTGCCTTTTTCAAAACCTCTCTGACAGTATTTTTCTTATCTAATGGTATACGTTCCATCTTACCTATAGGTATCTTTTCTTTTAACTCTTTCAATATTTTGTTAGTGTCTGGAATATGTTTGAGACGGTTCATATAGTTGTCGAAGTCATTGCATATAATCTTTGAGTCAGGAAATACAGTATGGCACAAATGAGATATATAGAAACTTCCACCGAACAAGTCTACAAATGTTAGACCATTCGGTAGTTTCTTAAGTTCTCTCAATAGAATATCTTTACATCTACTCTTATTTCCAAAGAAGGGTAACGGTGGTTTTGTAAAATTCATTTATATATAATAATAAAAATGTTTTTACCCGAAAAGTGACAGAAAAGTGACAAAGCATGAAAACATATATAATTTGTGAAAAGCGACACATTATATAATGTTTTCGACCCAGAAGAAGGCTTCTTCCCAGAAGCAATGGAGGAAGAAGAAGAGTCCTCCGAATTCACACCAGAAGACTAACAATTTTCCGAATAAAAACTTCATTTATACTAAACATCTTCGGGGCTAGAGGGCACGAAGTGCCTGGAAGCCCCACTACCTTTTTTTTTTTTTTTTTTTTTTTTTTTTCATTGCTAGTTGGTGCTGTCATGTATTTAATTCCTGGAACTGGTTTGCGTTTATAAAGATCCATAAAATCATATGCGGGTCGTTATCGATTTTGTAATTTAATCGTTATCGTTTTCGATTTTGTAATTTCATTGTTATCGTCTTTTTCTAAACGTGCATTTTGGAACTAAATCGCATATAACTTTAAAATGACTTAATATTTAAAGGTTTATGTGGTAAATCTCAACGAAATGTAATATTAATATGTGCACCATATATGAATTACAGACATTTGAGCAATTCGAAATTTCATCGCGTTATATATTCATTTAAATTCGATCAAATCAACATTGCAATTATAAAACCATTACACATCCAGTCAATATTTTTCAATTTCATGCGAATTATATCATTATTACACATTTTAAAATGGCGAAATATAGTCCAAAAAATAAACTTCGTTTTAAACTCAATTCTCACACATATTCGGATTGAATCATATGTGACTCATATGATCATACATCTCATTTGAGGTCTAAAAATTATTTACCGAGAAAACTTGCATTCGAACTAAAATTTACTAAATTTAATCAAATTGGTTTACAAACGTAAAGTTTATGCCAAATATTTACGTTTGTAAACTAATTGAGTAAATTTATAGCACTTTTTTTCTCGATGCAATAATTTGAACTACGAGTTTACCAAATTAGTTTACAAACGTAAAGTTTATGCCAAATATTTACGTTTGTAAACTAATTGAGTAAATTTATAGCACTTTTTTTCTCGATGCAATAATTTGAACTACGAGTTTACCAAATTAGTTTACAAACGTAAAGTTTATGCCAAATATTTACGTTTGTAAACTAATTGAGTAAATTTATAGCACTTTTTTTCTCGATGCAATAATTTGAACGACAAGTTAATGTAA